ATCAATGAAAATCAGCACCCTGCTGCTTTTTCATCAAAAAAAGAGCATCTAGTAAGAGAAGGAATGATTCCTAATAAGGGCATCTCCACAATTTTCTTCCTAATAAATGCTTGATCGATCAATTAACCAAAATGCTTGACCAAATCCACCTACAAAGAAAGCTTGATCAAATCGGCTGGGAGAAATTTGCAGTCACTGAACTGAACAAAAAACAAAAACCAGTCAACTCTGACTGTAATCAATCCCTTAAGTTAAATATAATGGAACGTACGTACATTGCTTACAAGTAAGCGCAAAACAACGGACATGGAGTTTCTTAGTTCGGGCTCGAATGAGCCCGGAGGAATAGTAAAATCAAAAAGATATGTAAAAAGCTAATCAAGGATTTGCCGGCCCGATGGATCGCTTGGCGTGCATTGAGCACGCCTCCCTATACTGCTGGTTACCTACGGATCGGCAACAACAAATTGAGCCAGCATGTGATAATAAAACCTCCTAATTAGCTTAAGATATAATTCATCATTATATGTTGGGTTAGCCTAGTTCAGGGTTTTTCTTGTTGATTTTTTGTTCACTTATTTTGCTACAACTTTTATGTTGGTTTTTTATGTTTTTCTTAATTTTCTTTTGTTTGTTTTTTCGATACACCGCCAATGATTCTTTAACATACGATGAACAATGTTTGAATACACACTATTTTTCTATAATATATTCATTGAATCATTTTAATATATGATGAACTTTTAGCACCTACTAGCAAAAAGGCCTGTGCGTTACAACGGGAGAAAAAAAATTCACTCATATCTCTAGTTGGGTTAGTTGGACAAATTGTGCGTGGCCGGTTGTCAGGTTATGAGATCGAACCCTTCCATCGGCAATTTTATTTTTCTCTGGACCTGAGCCACAATGCGCCGCCAGATGGGCTTCCTCCGTTGTGCCAAAACGGGTGGTAAGTAATGAAACCAAATAGCGTACATGAAATTAATTGAAGCGGGACCAAACGAAGCGGGACGAAATCAAAAATATCATCTCCATTTAATAATAGGTATAAATATAGATATAGATATAGATTGGACGACTACAGGTTTCTCAAAAATAAAAAAGATTGACGCTGACGGGGTGCGTCCAAAGGGGGAGCAACTAATTGAGGGCTGCTGTTGGGGAGTCTTCCAAAGATCATTCACTGGTCTTTCTTTGCTTTTCGACAGAAAAAATCAGAATTTTTTGTGTTTTTTCTTTCTTTCGCAAAAGACACGGGTTTGCTTCTGTGAGATACACGTGCTGCTGGAGTCGGCCACCGCCATCCGGCCGCTCATCAGGGAGGCCAGCTGGATGGCCCACGCGCACCGGGCCCTGCTGGCGTCGCGCCTCGTGCTCGCCCGCTCCTACGCCTTCGCCTACTACATGTTCGGCGACGAGGTGCGCACCTACCCGTCGGAGAAGGCCAACCTGCCCATCGCCAAGGTCCTGTTCGAGGACCAGCAGTGGCAGCTGGAGGAGAACGCCGAGAAGCTGTCCAAGGTGCTCGCCACCGAGGCCAAGCCTGTGCTGGCCGAGGAGGAGGTCCTCCGGGCCATGCAGGAGACCTCCAACCTCGCCAAGATCGTCGACACGCACTGCAGGGAGATATACAAGTGCATCCAGGACGAGCTGCTGCCGCTGCTCCTGGAGCCCATGACCATCGCCCCCCGCCCCGATGGACCCGACAAGGCCAAGGATCTGCCGGCGCCGTGAGAGGGATGAGCGCAGGAAGCCTATCTCGGCCTGCATCGACCGCGCCTCCCTACTCTATCCAGACAAAAGGCGCCGTGAGAGGGATGAGCGCACGAAGCATATCTTGGCCTGCATCCACCGCGCCTCCCTACACTACTCTATGCAGAGCTGCTGGTTACCTCTTCCTACGGTGCTCCATCGGCAACAGCAAATAAGTTAGGCCAGCTCGCGATAATAAAACTCCCTCCCTATATATAGTTAGCCTATTAAGATAGAATTCATCATTATCTGTTGTTGTTGAAACTGGTACTGGAAAAGACGGATGAAATTCGATGGGTGGATGAATGAAATATACTTAACACCAATCTTGCCTTTTCATTTTGAGATTTTGAACTAAATTTTCCCTGGCTTATTTCAATGTTCAAGCTCGTTAACCGCCGAGTCAATGGCATGTAAGAATTTGTCTCTCTTGACTAAAGCATTGGTAACAAATGAAAAATATTTCTTTTTGTACAATACCTAATCCAACTTCAAGCATGTCCAAATAAACTCTTAATATTAACTCTAATTTTTCTCCCTGACCACTTCTCAAGTATTTGATAGCATGAGGCAGAAGGAATCAAACATGTGGACTTTGCACAACTAAAAAATAGCAACTGATTTGGTGATCAGACTTGCCCAGTCCACTCGCGTCGGTCATAGTAGCCTCATCACCATTCAGCAAGACAAGGAATGATTCATAATTTCATATTTCATTCATTCATAATAAGGGCATCTTCAACGCGGACCCCTAAACCGGACACCGCATCCGTACACGGCCTTAGCCCAAGAACTATCAGCTGAACGGGTTTGTATTGTGCTTAATTTTGTGTTACGAACTCAAAATGAAATTCATATGTTAATCGATCTTGCAATTCTTCAGTCACCTGAAATCCCTTTCAGTTTCAGTCGACTTTCTCGTCTGGCTTGAAGCAGCACGTAATCCACGTACAAAAGAGACTGGCATGGCAGTATTGGACTAGAGCAGCCTATAGTCTATATGCAAATGCTTGATCGATTAATTGACCAAAATGCTTGACCAAATCCACCTACAAAGAATGCTTGATCAAATCGTCTGGAAGAAATTTGTGGTCAGTGAACTGACCAAAAAACAAAAACCAGTCAACTTTGCATGTAATCGATCCCTTAAGTTAAATATAATGGAACATACGTACATTGCTTACAAGTAAGCGCAGAACAACGGACATGAAGTTTCTTAGCTCGGGCTCAAATGAGTCCGGAATAAAAGAGATATGTAAAAAAGTTCACAAAAAATTGACTTTGTTTGTGGGAGACATTATGAAATGTTTTGAGTGTTCGCAAATTTTCATCATAGAATCACATTCGTGGAAGTCGTGGCAAAAATGATGCTCCGAAGATGCTACTTTCAGAAGCATTCTGGAGTGCATTTTTGCCATGATTTCCACAGTTGTGATATGATGATGAAAATTTGCAAGCGCTCGAAAATTTTCTCAATGTTTACCAAAAAATTCAGAATTTTTCACTGTTCATTTTTTTTTGAGACACCAAGAGCATTTGGGCTCGAGCTCGGATTAGGACTTTCGCAAAACAAGTGTCATCTGTGACGAAAAGGAAACGAAAATAGCAGCCAGACTGCAAAGCAAAGTGCCTACGTTTGCCGGCCGGACTTTCATCTCGCCCATCATATTTTATCTCAAACACTCCTTGTAGCATCATTTGGCTACGATAGGTTCTCACTGCGCACCAAATCCCCGGAAAATAGTGAAATCTCCGGTGAAGCAAACCCTTAGTGGAAAAAATTTACTCCACTAAGTTTTGGCCGTACCTAAACCGATCCTCTAGATATAACGAAGTAAAACTTATATATGGCTCAAACATTTCATCGAACATTTGCTATGCGTCTACACAGCGGCGTCGATGATGACCATGCCGGCAACGCTGTGGCTAACGGCAGCATGGCCGCCGCCGCGGACGTACGTGGCATGACCATGCCGGTTGTAGCCTTGTTTTTGTAGTGAAAAAATACATCGTATAGCCTTGTTTTTGTACTGAAGAAATGCATCGTATAGTCACTGTTTTGACCTTTTTGGGGCGAAAAAGAAATGCATCGCCTTTGCTTCCTCCAAGTTTGACCTGATTTCAAATTTCCATGCTTCCCAATCTTGGTGGTAATATTAGTTTTTTGACCTAATTTCAAATTTCCATGCTTCCATCCAAGTTTAGATCTGTTCCCAACTACTATGTTGGCGCTTCTTAGTTTCATAGCACCAATGGAGACGTACATAAGGTGTCGCGGGAGCGGTCTCGTCTCCTCTCATTGTCCGGCTCTGGATTGAGACGAAGATGGCAGTGCCCGGGAACCTCACGACAAGTCGGCGGCCACCGCCATCCGACACGGTGTCATGGAGCGACGTCCTCTCATCGTTGCCGTCGCCGGTCGCCCAAGCCCCAAGTCCAAGTCGTGCGCATAGCCTGCACGCGGATGCATCGCTATTACTAGTATATATAGAGATAGAGATGATTTTAGAAGGTTGGTTTTGGGCATGGGAGTTAGAACAAGGAGGGTGTGATCTATGGCCAAAGGAAAGGCCGTGCCGTGAATCAGTGACCTGGCACAAGAGAGACCACAAATCAGTGAGGTGGCACAAGCCAGGGCACCCTGACTAGGGTCGGCATTGGACGAGGCGGCCCTCTGCACAACGCAGGATGAAGCGGTGCGGCTCCTCCACGAGCGGCAAGCGGATGCCGGACAGGGTTACCCATGCCCTTGCGCCGCTAGAAGCACTACTCCAACGATGACAGCAGGATGAAGACCGCGGTGCCACTGGCCAGGCAGCCACGCGTACGAGGTCATCGTCCGCTCCAAGATAGTTTTTTTTAAGTTTGAAATATCATTTTATGTCCAAACATAAGTTTATTCTGTTGTGTTTGCATAAAATTCATCATGCTTGTTCAAATTCGATTTGAATTGCATGGGGACATGGTTGGATCGTCGACTTCCGTGTATCACTATCCGCGGACAAGTGTTTATTTTTTCCTTCATCTTTCCCCTTTGTATCACTGTAGCGTGGTGTGGTGCACTCCTTTCCCTTACGGTAGTGATCACTCCGCAGTCCCCACCAACTCCCCTCCCGTGTTTAAGAAGTCAGAACATGTGTGTAAGAACTAAGAAGTGAGAACTGTGAGTGTTTATAAAAACCCATGGAGATTTTGGCAATCCCAGCTTGCTAAGATTGACCGGATCAAACAGCCCGAGCATCAGAAAAATGGCCGGCGTCCAAGAAGCATCCCATGGCGACGTCCGGCGACAGCACGCGCGCCGGGTGCTAGTGTTCCCACTGCCGTTCCAGGGCCACATCAACCCGATGCTGCAGCTCGCCGACGTGCTCCACGGCCGAGGCCTCGCCGTCACCGTCCTCCACACCCAGTTCAACGCGCTGGACCCCGCGCTCCACCCCGAGTTCACCTTCGTCGCCGTGCCCGACGGCGTCCCCGCCGACCTCGCCGCCTCGGGGAGCATCATCCCCATCATCCTCGCCATGAACGCCGCCATGGAGGCGTCGGCGGCCGTCCACGATGTGCTCGCGTCGGTCCTCGCGGACGACGGTCAGCCCCCCGCCGCGTGCCTGTTCATCGACGCCAACCTACTCGCCGTCCATAAGGCCGCCTCGGCGCTCGGGCTCCCGACGATGGTGCTGCGTACCGGCAGCGCCGCCTGCTTCAGCTGCTTCCTAGCCTATCCCATGCTCCACCACAACGGTTATCTACCTCCAAAAGGTCAGTACGTAATTAGGATGAGATCTGCGCCGCATGTTCTGCACCTTGAGATTTTGCTGATTGAATGTTATGTTAATCTTCTACAGTATATAAAAATATCCATCTGTTTCAGAATCACAGCTCTACACGCCGGTGAAAGAGCTGCCGCCGTTGCGTGTCAGGGACCTATTCGTCACGAGCAGCAGCGACCACGAAATGGTGCGCAAGGTTCTAGCCCGAGCCTCTGAAACCGTGAGGAACTCCTCTGGCCTCGTCGTCAACACGTTCGACGCTCTGGAGACCGCCGAGCTAGACAGGATACGCCGCCAAGTAGACGTGGCCTTCGTGCTCGCCGCCGGCCCGCTCCACAAGCTCTCCCCCCGGAGCACCGGGAGCAGCCTGCTGCGCGAGGACCGTAGCTGCATGGAGTGGCTGGACAAGCAGGCCGCGGGGTCCGTGCTGTATGTGAGCTTCGGGAGCTTGGCATCCATGGATGGTGGCGAGCTCTCGGAGATCGCGTGGGGTTTGGCCAACAGTGGCCAACCTTTTCTATGGGTTGTCCGACGGGACCTCGTGCCGGGATCGGACGGGCCTGGTCTGCCGGAGGGATTTGATCGTGCGGTGGAGGGTAGAGGCAAGGTGATCCCGTGGGCCCCGCAGCAGGAGGTGCTGGCCCACTTTGCAGTGGCTGGATTCTGGACCCACAACGGCTGGAACTCAACACTGGAGAGCATCAGTGAGGGTCTCCCGATGATATGCATGCCTCACTTTGCGGATCAAATGATGAACACAAGATATGTGGAGGCAGTGTGGGGTGTAGGGTTTGAGCTCGAGGGCAAGCCAGAGAGAAACAAAATCGCCAAGGCAATTCAGAAGCTTATGAATGAGAGGGAAGGAGAAGTGGCTAGGGGAAAAGCAAGAGAACTTAAGAAAAAAGTAGGGTCGAGCTTGGAAAATGGTGGGTCTTCTCTACTAGCTATAGATAAGCTTATCGAGCATATATCGTCTTTGTAATTATTTGTGTTGTGTCGTTATTTGAAATACTATATTGTAACTTGTAACTGGATAAGTGGTGTTATTGGCATTGATGTATCATAATATTTTTCATAATTTATTTTGAAGTGACTTTGTTTGCATGCATGAAAACGTAAATCTAAGACTTTCTTTTGTGTGTGAATTGAACTTTCATAAATGGATCACTACAGTCACAAGGACTTGACTTCTGCAGGTGTCATACGAATCCACACCGCATTTTTTGGTAGGTGCGGCCCATCTGAGCTAGCCTATACTTACATGGTTTTGCTCCCTACTCACATGTGATATAGCAAACTCCCTACCTAGACATAGTAAAAGCTTCGTTTCATCAACAAGGGATGCCACTTGGGATCTATTGGGGGCTAGGTAGGTTATCATGTCAGCAACAACGATGAGTCTGTTTCGAGGATGAAGGTGTCTAAGCTCCACACAAGGGTCGGCGCAACGCCCTCCATGCATGCAACCATCTCCACCTCCAGAGCACTCGAGTAGGTATACATGAAACGACATTAAGTGAAGATCGTCTCTCCTTTGTTACGGAAAATCATCCTACCACCCCGGTCCCATCTTCTTTGAGGTATGCACAATCGGCAATGAGTTTAGTCCAACTTGTGGGAGGGGGCTTAGTCCATCTACGAGGGTGTGAGCGGCAGTTTGCGCGGCATTTTTGGCCTTTCTCGTCTACAACATGATCATAGGTCACCACCGACTTCCCTTTAGGTGGATCGGCATCGGGGTGTTGGCGGATTTCAAGAAGCGTGTTGATGTAGCTCGAAAGAAAGCATCAAGACAATTTGGTCGTTGGAGACAGCTTCAGGTGCGTGATTTCGTTGCGGACCTGCCATGTATGCCACATTTTCATAAGCATCGAAAGGCGCTCGTAGGCAGTGCCCGTTTGAGGAGATGTAGTACCCAGCCTGGCCCTATGTTGGTGGTGATGTCCACGGCCGATATTCTCCAAACTTCACTCATGGCGTTCCAGAGGCCACGTGCCTGAGGGCATTTATAGAATACATGAAGGGTTTCCTCTCAGTTTACCCCACAAAAGAGTATAGATGTCAGAGTTTTCGGTCTTCCTCTTTGCTTTAATTTGCTGGAAATATGCCCTAGAGGCAATAATAAAATAGTTATTATTATATTTCCTTGTTCATGATAATTGTCTATTTTTCATGCTATAATTGTGTTATCCGAAAATCGTAATACATGTGTGAATACATAGACCACAAAATGTCCCTAGTGAGCCTGACTAGCTCGTTGATCAATAGATGGTTACGGTTTCCTGACCATGGACATTGGATGTCATTGATAACGGGATCACATCATTAGTAGAATGATGTGATGGACAAGACCCAATCCTAAGCATAGCGCAAGATCGTGTAGTTTGTCTGCTAAAGCTTTTCTAATGTCAAGTATCTTTTCCTTAGACCATGAGATTGTGCAACTCCCGGATACTGTAGGAATACTTTGGGTGTGCCAAACGTCACAACGTAACTGGGTGGCTATAAATATGCACTACGGGTATCTCCGAAAGTGTCTGTTGGGTTGGCACAAATCGAGACTGGGATTTGTCACTCCGTATGAGGGAGAGGTATCTCTGGGCCCACTCGGTAAGACATCATCGTAATGAGCTCAATGTGACTAAGGGTTGGTCACGGGATGATGTGTTGCGGAACGAGTAAAGTGACTTGCCGGTAACGAGATTAAACGAGGTATTGGGATACCGACGATCGAATCTCGGGCAAGTAACGTACCGATTGACAAAGGGAATTGTATACGGGATTGCTTGAATCCTCGACATCGTGGTTCATCCGATGAGATCATCATGGAACATGTGGGAGCCAACATGGGTATCTAGATCCCGCTGTTGGTTATTGGCCAGAGAGTTCTCTCGGTCATCTCTGCATGGTTCCCGAACCCGTAGGGTCTACACACTTAAGGTTCGATGACGCTAGGGTTATTAGGAAGATTTGTATGTGATTACCGAATGTTGTTCGGAGTCCCGAATGAGATCCTGGACGTCACAAGGAGTCCCGGCATAGTCCGGAGGTGAAGATTTATATATGGGAAGTCATCATACGGTCACCAGAAATATTCGGGGGTATGCCCGTATTGTACCGGGACCCCCGGAGGGGTTCCAGGGGTCCACCGGGAGGGTCCACCTGCCCTGGAGGGCCTTATGGGCTGTAGGTGGAAGGGAACCATCCCCTAATGGGCTGGGCGCCATCCCACCCTAGGGCCCATGCGCCTAGGGTTTGGGGGGGGGCAACCCTAAAGGGGGCGCCACCCTTGCTTGGGGGGCAAGCCCCCTCCCCCTTGGCCGCCGCCCCCTCTAGATCTCATCTAGAGGGGCGGGCCCCCCTTCCCCCTTCTCCCTATAAATAGAGGGGCGAGGGGGGGGGGCTGCAGCACCACATCAAAGGCGCAGCCCCTTCCCTCCCCAACACCTCTCCTCCTTCGCGTGAGCTTGGCGAAGCCCTGCCGGAGAACTGCCACTCCATCACCACCATGCCGTCGTGCTGCTTTTGGAGCCTTGTTCCTCAACCTCTCCCTCCTCCTTGCTGGATCAAGGTGCTGGAAACGTCACCGGGCTGCACGTGTGTTGAACGCGAAGGCACCGTTGTTCGGTGCTTAGATCGGATTCGGTCGCGATCTGAATCGCTACGTGTACGACTCCTCCAACCGCGTTCTTGCAACGCTTCCGACTCGCGATCTTCAAGGGTATGAAGATGCACTCCCCTCTCTCTCTCGTTGCTAGTTACTCCATAGATTGATCTTAGAGATGCGTAGAATTTTTTTAATTTCTGCAACGATCCCCAACAGTGGCATCATGAGCTAGGTCTATGCGTAGTTTCTATGCACGAGTAGAAACAAGTTGTTGTGGGCGTCGATTTTGTCAATTTACTTGCCGTTACTACTCTTATCTTGATTCGGCGGCATCGTGGAATGAAGCGGCCCGGACCGACCTTACACGTACGCTTACGTGAGACTGGTTCCACCGATTGACATGCACTAGTTGCATAAGGTGGCTAGCGAGTGTCTGTCTCTCCCACTTTAGTTGGATCGGATTCGATGAAAAGGGTCCTTATGAAGGGTAAATAGAAATTGGCATATCACATTGTGGTTTTGGCGTAGGTAAGAAACGTTCTTGCTAGAAACCTATAGCAGCCACGTAAAAAAACTTGCAACAACAATTAGAGGAGGTCTAACTTGTTCTTGCAGCATATGCCGTGTGATGTGATACGGCCAAAAGGATGTGATGAATGATATATGTGATGTATGAGATTGATCATGTTCTTGTAATAGGAATCACGACTTTCATGTCGATGAGTATGACAACCGGCAAGAGCCATAGGAGTTGTCTTAATTTATTTATGACCTGCGTGTCAACATAAACGTCATGTAATTACTTTACTTTATCGCTAACCGTTAGCCATAGTAGTAGAAGTAATAGTTGGCGAGACAACTTCATGAAGACACGATGATGGAGATCATGTTGATAGAGGTCATGGTGTCATGCCGGTGACAATGATGATGATGGCGCCCCGAAGATGGAGATCAAAAGGAGCAAAATGATATTGGCCATATCATGTCACTATTTGATTGCATGTGATGTTTATCATGTTTTACTTCTTATTTGCTTAGAACGACGGTAGCATAAATAAGATGATCCCTCGCAATAATTTCAAGAAAGTGTCCCCCCTAACTGTGCACCGTTGCTAAGGTCCGTTGTTCTGAAGCACCACGTGATAATCGGGTGTGATAGGTTCTAACGTTTGCATACAACGGGTGTAAGCCAGATTTACACATGCAATACACTTAGGTTGACTTGACGAGCCTAGCATGTACAGACATGGACTCGTAACACGGAAGACCGAAAGGTCGAACATGAGTCGTATAGAAGATACGATCAACATGAAGATGTTCACCGATGATGACTAGTCCGTCTCACGTGATGATCGGACACAGCCTAGTTGACTCGGATCATGTATCATTTAGATGACTAGAGGGATGTCTGTCTGAGTGGGAGTTCATTAAATAATTTGATTAGATGAACTTAATTATCATGAACATAGTTTAAAACTTTGCAATATGTCTTGTAGATCAAATGGCCCATGCTAGTGTTGCCCTCAACTTCAACGCGTTCCTAGAGAAAACAAAGCTGAAAGACGATGGCAGCAACTACACAGACTGGGTCCGTAACCTGAGGATTATCCTCATAGCTGCCAATAAAGCATATGTCCTTGATGCACCGCTAGGTGAAGCACCTGTTTTCCCAGCAGATCAAGACGTTATGAACGCCTGGCAGACGCACAGTGATGATTACTCCCTGGTTCAGTGCGGCATGCTTTACAGCTTAGAACCGGGGCTCCAAAAGCGTTTGAGCAACACGGAGCATATGAGATGTTCCAAGAGCTGAAAATGCTTTTCCAAGCTCATGCCCGGGTCGAGAGATATGAAGTCTCCGACAAGTTCTACAGTTGTAAGATGGAGGAGAATAGTTTCATCAACGAGCACATACTCAAAATGTTTGGGTTGCACAACCGCTTGTCTCAACTGGGAGTTAATCTCCCGGATGATGTGGTCGTTGACAGAATCCTTCAATCGCTCCCACCCAGCTACAAGAGCTTTTTGATGAACTTCAATATGCAGGGGATGGAAAAGACCATTCCTGAGGTATATTCAATGCTGAAATCAGCGGAGGTGGAAATCAAAAAGGAACATCAAGTGTTGATGGTGAATAAAACCACTAAGTTCAAGAAAGGCAAGGGTAAAAAGAACTTCAAGAAGGACGGCAAGGGAGTTGCCGCGCGCAGTAAGCAAGCTGCTGGGAAGAAGCCAAAGAATGGACCCAAGCCCGAGACTGGTGCTTTTATTACAAGGGAAACAGTCACTGGAAGCGGAACTGCCCCAAGTACTTAGTGGATAAGAAGGCCGGCAATGTCAAAGGTATATGTGATATACATGTTATTGATGTGTAC